AAAAAAAAAAAAAAAAGAAGTTTCGTGTCTGACCGTCCGATTTGACCTGGACATTTCCTGGTTTATTATTTGACCATCTATAATACCAAGGTGATGTGGATAGGTTCATCTCTCACATCATATCCTAAAATCCTAAAATGAACATTAAAAGAGATAGAAAAAAAAAATAAAAAAAAATAGTTTTCATTTCTTATTCAGGGATTTATGCATACCTATACATTAGCCGATTTAATTGTTAGGTGAATTGATCTTTCATATTTTTTAAATAAAAATACATATTTATAAATACTTTAGTTTAAATAAAATACTTTTAATAGTATGATATTTTTAATTCAAAAGTATCAATATGTGTTGAAATAAATTATACAATCGTTTAACTGTTAGGTCTGACTAATTAGTATGCAAGAAATATTCAGAATAATTGCATTAATCTTTTAATCTAGTAGAATAGTTATATAAAAAAAATATACAATCACACCATCATTGCATTAATCTTTTAATCTAGTGGAATAGTTATATAAAAAAAAATATACAATCACACCATATAACGCCGTAAAAATGAATAAATTAATTAAAATTGGAAGTTGAGCTATATATACCTAAAGGGGCATCATGCAACACTTATGTCATAACCAAAAAAAAAAAATAGATTAATTAGAGATGATCATCAAAGCATTTACTTATATACACAACAAAACGAAATCAAATGTGTTACTCGAGATAACGATGAGCTAACCGGAATCGAGCAAGCGTATTTGAGGCGATCGAGCAAGAAAAACAAATCGAAGCCATTCTTTTCCGAGTTATTTGTATTGTTTTATTTCTTTTTTCTCCTTTTTCTCGTCAATATTGAAATCTCAAATAAAACGATTTTTTTTTTCTTTTTTTTTTTTAATGGAGAGATTTTATTTTGATTCTTAGAGGTTGTTTTTTCAAATTTTTGACAATGATATTTGTCAAAAGGGTTAAGCTGCAAATTGGTTGGTTGCATATAATATATATATCAAAAAAGGATGCCTATATTGGAATAGGGTAAAAAAAAGAACTATGTGACAAAGGATTTATGTGTGACTCAATTCGACATCATTTGATTTAATATTTGTTCATATATATCAAATTTGGGATCTGCAAATTTTAAATTAATTGGAATTGTGATTATAGGGTGGGCTGAGGCTAAAGGTAGTCCTCATAATTATTTATAAAATTATCTTCTAATTATCATTACGCGTTTGTTTTGAAATTATCAAGTATATGAATTGAGAAGATCCATTATTATTTGGGATTTTTACTTTTTTTCTTGATGCTTGTGTTTAAAATAATGTTATATCTATATCTCGCTCACAAATAGCAGTTTACAACGACGATGAACGACGACAACAACAATATAATTGTTGAACTTTGCTCACATCCATGGTGGATATTCAAACGCAAAGCTTAGAGATGTTAAACTCTCCTTGGCCCGATAGGCCGGTCCGTTAAGCCAAAAAAAAAAA